ATTGATTTTTATCAATCCTTTTCTTCTTCATCCTTTTTGTTGTTGAATTTTATCGAGAAAGCCTTGAATGAAGAATTACTTAACTTAACAGACTGGTGCAGAGCCAATAGCTTTCGATAAATATAATTAAATCAAATTTCATGGTTTTCAAACCAAGACAGAAAAGGGAAAAACTTAACGTTAAACTAGAGATTAACCAATGTACAATTAACCAAGAGTCTTCTATTGTTTTTTGAATTGGATATCCACGGTCTACATGAAACTTTCATTTTAGGCGTTGTATGGTGCTTTGACAACCTCTTTGTCATATTCATATGTAGGTGCCGCTCTGAATAACGATGGCTTTTTCCACAATTTATGTTTAACTCCCTATCAACATCTGTTTATAATACGCACACTAAGCTCCTCGCGCTTTCCCTCGTCAGGGTTTTTGTGTTTTGTGTGTGTGTGTGTGTGTGTGCGTGTGTGTGTGTGTGTGTGTGCGTGTGCGTGTGTGTGTGTGTGTATGTGTTTTCTTATTATCCTACTCCGTCATCCTTATATTATATTTGTTGAGATCGGAGTAGGATGATAGATATGGCTGAAATTAGTTGAGTTATTTTTTCGCATGACGGTTCGTTTCACAGGAAACGTTTGCTAACAAATTGTGTAGTGGTATCCTTTCAGCGAAAAGTGAGATGAATTTAGATATGAGTTGAGACTATCTTGACGTCACTGTCCGTACAACAGATTATTTAGAGCGGCTTGGATGGGAACAAAGTCAAAACCCTCAGCTCGCGATGGTATCTTCGTCTTTGAATTGAATAAATGTTTTCGATCCCTTTTGTTTTGCCACGCGCTTTTGAAATAAATTTATTCCATATTTCAATCTTACCCTTAAAATCGGTCAGCGCGAACTTACAAGCAAGCTTGTAAAAAGAGACTCACCGAACACTCCTGATTAAAAATCGGATAAAAATGGAGTACTCATAATGCATAATATATAACAAGAGTGATATTAAAAGTTCTGATATTGAAATAAACGAGTGAAAAAACAATATTATCTTTTATTTGATAGGTGCTGACCGTGAGATTACAGCAAATATTCAAGATAGTTGTTTGCTGACTTGCTCTCTGTTCGCGTATCTAGGAAATTTAATTATCTATTGGTACCGCTGCTCGCCCGAGAACGGGCCTTGCAATAAAGACTGGAACGAGATCCCGATAGCGCAAGTTAAAAATATGACAGAGAAAATTATTTATTACCCAAACCTTGACATTGACACCAACGGAGCCTTAGTTATCAAGAAGTTATTACCTATGGATGATGGAGTAATGTTTATCTGTTATGCCACGAAGGCTTATGTTGGGAGAAAAAAGTTTACCACGATCCTCAATATTGCCAAAGGTGATGTTTATAGAAGTGTTATATAATGATGATAATAGTAATAATAATAATAATGTATTCATGGTAATAACAATGGGAATTTAGCAGTGGGCAATCCACGTGGTGGCTTTTGTTGTCCACGGTTTCCAGGTCGAAATGAAATTTGGAATGTTGTTTTTACTGGGAGGGGAAGGATAGTTGGAGAACCTTGTAAAAAAAAAAAAATGTAGTAAGGATGAGAAGCAACAAAAACCCCCTTGTAACGCCAGGGGACCATTTATCGAGAGTCCTAGTAACTTATCGTGCCCTTAAAAGGTTCTGTTTTTATACACATTGGGAGTTTCAACGGTTTTGAAACAAGTTTACAATAAGACTGTCAGCAGCGCAAAAAGCAAATTGGATTGGTAAGTGTACCAGAACCGCTTCTCTGTTCTTTAAATTTTGATATTAAAATATGGCTTTTAGGCCTTAAACTTTGCAAGACATTTTGGAAAGGGGCGCCAGGTCCAGGAAGTAATTACGGGCCACAGCGATGGGAGGCGAAGGCTTCCACTACTGCGCAAGCGCTATCCTTTCTCCGCACTTTCGTTTAGTTAATCGTATCACTTTGGACACTGTTTCTTTGCAGCTTTACTTTTCGTTTTTTTTAGCTGAAGGAATGTAAATTTTGATTTTTTTTAGGACGCCCAGAATTAATACCACTGTGTCCTCCAGTGATTCATGTCATTGAAGGAATGGATCTTCATATAGATGCAACAGTGCATGGCTATCCTTACCCTTGGGTAGCCTGGAGCCATAATAAAGTTGTCATAGGGAATAAATCGATTGAAAATAACGAAGCAAGTCATATCATTCGCAATGTTACCGTATATGAAGGCGGAAGTTACTCCTGTTTCGCCAACAATCGATATGGATATGATGAGTTCACCGTAAACGTTTATGTTCAAGGTATTGATTTCATTCACATTTAGGCAAGCTTCGTTAGGAAAGAGCCTGTCAGGAAAGAGAAACAAAGGAAGTTTGCTGTTTTTTTATATATTATTATTATTATTAATTTTTTTCATTGTTCTTCGTGCTGTTACTTTTGTTTT